AGATTGAAATTACTACCAAATATATGTTGTTAACTGCAGCAACAAATTAAAAGTCATGTACTTTTCTGCACTCAACATCCACAAATATTAAAACAAAATACTTATTCTGGATGTTGAGTGTGAACACTTTTCAAACTGAAAGAAAGACAGATCTAGACAGGACAAAATAAAACAGACAGATTGTGACACTGTTTCGATAGCATTAAACTGTATGTAGGTGAAATGTCAGTGGAGATCAGGGCAGGCGGGTTTTGATTCACAAAAATCAACAAAAGGGTAAAATGATCTAGTTAGTACTGGCAGTAAAATCAATCTTCCTACTTTATCAGAAACAACTGTTGCGTGTAAAAAGATTTTGGATGTTGAGTGTAGCTGCGAGGAAAGCAATCACAAAGAAATGTCTCAAACCAAACAGCCCATCAATAGATGATTGGTACGATATAATTTAGGAAATCTTTGTAATGGAAAGAACAACCTTCTCTCTGAGGCTCCAGGAACTTACATTTGAGGACATTTGGGAGAAATGGAAAGTGTATATTACCCGATACGCCTTTCTTTTGTTTAACTGATCTATACTGCCAATGTTTTATTTTGAAAAGAAAACACCCTATGTTCTTGTGTGCTTATTATCAAGAAAAATAAAAAAGACGGACCACTCTGTAAAACTATTTAACTACATCTGTATATACGTATATAACCATGACTTGCGTAGATTTATGATATCAAACTAATTGTTTCCACAATGTTCTATTCATATTTTATTCCAACATTTTGGTAAGATCAACATGTTTTATTTATATCTGGAACTAAAATGCGTGATCATGTTGAAATATTTTGACAGTTCTTAAACACAAATAGTTTAAAAGTGCCCACTGTTCACCGTCATGTATTTGATTTGAATCTAAAAGAATAACATGATGGACAAACATGGCCTTAGTCTTCAGAAGATCTCCGCTGTCAGACCGAGGCATTGAGAACGAGACAGAGATGGATGGCAGTGCGCTCATCAGTTCATCTCAGATCTGTGTCGAGGCCTTGAACACAATGCACTCATTATGGAGAGAGACACAGACTGGATACTGTGCGCTGCCCGGGTTTGTAGAAAGGGAAGCCTGCAGCCCTTTGTGAAGTGGGTCAAGTCAATGAAGGGGTTACCAGTTGGCTATGTCAGCAGAATGATGTGATTTCATAATTCCCATAGCCTATGAACCTTCAGAGAAACCTGCTGAAGGCCTGCACTCATTACCCCACGATCTTTTGTCTGGCTCTCAATACTGAGACATTTGCGGGGTCAGATTGGATGTCGTGTGTAGTGTTGGCTTGAATTACCCTCAAAGGGAACCAGAAACCCCCGTGAACACATCGCTGTCAAGCAGTGAGCAAACCTCTCGAGAGATTCACATCCGGGCAAAAATCCCGAAAGGAGAAACGAACATGAATCTTGAACACAGGGCCGAGAATCTAAACGTGGACGTGTTCCCAGAAATGTCAGGATATAGTATTGCAGTCTGCAAATAATTGTACATGCATGTAAGAGTTTGCCATTCTTGTAACAAGACCTGAGTTCCAAGCATTTTGGAAACACTTGGGAAATATGCAGAGATTTAACTTCTGAATGCTTCCTCTGTCAAGGTCCTGGCTATTTAAAGTGCTTCAGAAAAGAAAAGCAACTTTGTATAAACATGAAATCACATTTCAACGTCCTAGAGTAACCTTTCCAGACTTTAAATAAAGATAATTACAGGAGTAATACATATTTTACAAGAGCTCTTCAGGAGTGCAGATGTTCCTGCTCAATTGCACCTTTCCATGACATCTTCATTTGATTGTTATGTTGATCACATGCAAAACCTCAAAAATACCTCATTCAAATGCTTAAAACGTTTAGGGGTGAATGAAGTAGCAAGTTGGTCGACCTCCACATTGGAAAGTAGGGTGTTGTGAGGTCTCTCAGATTAGAGTAATAGAGCAAGGTGACATTTTGCAACAAATGATCACATAAAGATAGAAATATTTTAGCAGTGTGTGTGTGGGTTTCAAGTTTCAAGGCTTTTATTGTCATTCGTACATAGCTACAGTTCAGTTATGTCGATAAAAAGTCATTGGAATATGATATATCAGATAAATAACTTGTAAGTTGCAAAAAGGTGAATGTTATGGAATGCTCTAGTTCACGTGTTTAACAGTCTTAGGGCCTGTGTGTGTGTGTGTGTGTGTGTGTGTGTGTGTGTGTGTGTGTGTGTGTGTGTGTGTGTGTGTGTGTGTGTGTGTGTGTGTGTGTGTGTGTGTGTGTGTGTGTGTGTGTGTGTGTGTGTGTGTGTGTGTGTGTGTGTGTGCGTATTTGCCTGTACCCGTGGGTGTGACTGAATCTGTGATGTCACCGCTTGGATCCGGGTGATCTTTTCTCAGCCAATCGGTGTGGAGCAAGAGGTGGTCAGAGGGTGATTAAAGGACAGGGGGCGAGGGGGCAGGGGGGCGGGGGGGGGGGTTAAACTCTAAACTAGGCTGTAAACCATTGACTTGAGGGCTGAGGCCATGAGTCAGAGGTATATATGTTGTCTGTTGGCCAGGAAGCTTTCTGTGACACCTGCTGCTGGACGTGACCCAACCTGAGAGAGCTATAATTGATCCGGGTGTTAAGTCATCGCTTTAACCACAGTCAGGTCAAATGAATGAAATATAAATCCCCTGAAACCTCCTTGGAAGATCAGAGTTGTAAAACTTCAGAAATTAAATGAAAACGACTTGTTAAAGGTCCCATGTCATGGCCATTTCTACTGATCATATTTCCATTGCTGAGGTCTACTAAAATACATTTATATTGTGCAATTTTCCAAACTCACATTGGTTTCTCATACAGCATCTCTGTATAGTATGTGTATTCGCTCTGTCCTAAACGGCTTGTTGGAGCTCCTGCCCCCCCCCCTCCCTGTGAGCCCAGTGGCCGTCTGCGAGACAGCGAGACACACGCACCCACAGCCTGGCTGGGAGTTTGTGTGTGTGCCCAGGCTGAGTTCTGCGGTGTCTCGCTGTCTCACCGACCCCACACCAGTGAGCCAGCTCACAGTGTCCCGCTCCTCGCAGCAGCGAGTCTCGCAGCATCCCGCCGAGTGTGTGTGTGTGTGAGGAAGTCCGCGGATTGGTCCAAACGTAACGGCTCCGCGGACTCAACGTAACCGTTACGTTACGTCACTATACCCCGAAATACGTCACTATACCCAAGAAGTAAACAATGGAAAAAGAGAAATCTCCAACGAGGCGTTCTGGGGCAGCATAGACAGGTCTTTTCTGTGTTAGAGTTTTACTCGCTACAGGGTGTACTTTGAGGGTTTGTGACTCTGCAGACCGTTTACATGCAGAAAAACCTTCATAACACACAAGGGGACGGGTAATAACCTGAAAAGCATGACATGGGACCTTTAAATGTTTTATGCTTTTACTGGACATTTATGATTATTGTGGTATCGTAAAATACCATAATAAAGTATGCGTTTTCATTCCATCTGTACACATACAGTCGAAGGGGTTTACTCGTTTGACATGATTTACTTGCAGCAC